TGCAATACTGGACGTACTCTAACCACACGTCCAGCGATATATAGTCTTCGACCGATCGCTCAAACAGTTTCAATATATCGCTCTTCTCGTCAGCCGTGGAGGCGATCCTAATCTCATCGTTAATCCATTTGAGCCATAAATTGGGTGTCAATGGAAACAGTTTACTCATGCGTTCGCGTGCGGCGCGGATCAGCTCCAGATCATCGCACGCCTCGAGCTTATCGATCAAATCCACGTGTTTTTGATAATCGTATGAATTGACTGATAACTAGTGGACACAAGTTTGGGATCAATGGTTTGCCACAAGTGTTAGTCACAGATAATGGTTACCTCTTCTTCGAGTTGTTTGATCTCCTGTTCGTTGACCTCATCGTTGCCGTCGTCGGCATTGCTGTCCTCACTATCGCTTCCGCTGTCGTTGTGGTCTTCGTTGTGTCCCTCAATCACATCATCAGGTCTTTCATCCATTGAATCCATAATTATTGTCAAAACAATTCAATCGATAATTGAATCACTTTTTCAAACAAACACTCAATTCATTTGAAAAAACGTTTTCAAAACAATATTTCAAGTCTTTCTCACAAATAACGTTACGTTTCAATCATTTAACACTTTTGGCCCCACATTTCGATAAGAGAGAGAAATAGTTAATCGAAAACTAAATTAAAACTGTGGGAACATTATATAAAATATTGACCATGGTTAATGCTAATGTAAATAATTTATTCCATTTGAATTAACTTAATTAATAAATAAACTGTAAATATAAATTATAATAAAGTTTGTCTACAATAATAACATTATATAAAAGATTTCTTTTGTTTTTTATTTAATGTCAATTGACTTCTATTATGTGTCTTCCGATCCCATACTTACGGCCGGTCTCTACGCTTTGCAAACGGCGTTAGGAAAAGGTATGTCTCTATTGGCTTCTCTCCCGTGTGCTTACGTTTATGCGATATGAGAGTACACGGTTGAGAGCACCGGTACGCACAGTCAGGCCTACAAGTCATGGCAAACATAGATTGAATTACAATAGCAATTACAAAAGAAAGTATCTCTAAATTGAAAGGCATACCAATCACAGGCGTACGGCTTTTCTCCCGTATGTATACGTTTGTGGGCCACTAAAGCCCAACTAACGCCCGCACTGTACTCACATCCGGGCCAATCACACTTCAAACTCCTGGCCTTCGTGTGGACCACTCTGTGATTCTTCAATGAATGAGCGACGCGGGCCTCGTATCCACAACCGGGCCATTCGCACGGATAGCGTTTGGTGCGAAGGTGTAGAGCATTCTTATGTTTGTTCACATATTTATAGTTTTTGAACAGTCCTTCACATCCGGGCCAATCGCAGGGCACCCGTTGTTTCGGGTGAATATATCTCTCGTGTTGGTAAAAGTCAATAACAGTGGACACTGTCTTCG